CCCCCCTATTGTACTCCTTAACCAACTGAGATTTTTTAACATAGTAGGTCTTATTTCTCCATATAAATTTATATATAATGGAGTTAATTTTCCTCACATTTTTGTAAAGATGTAAAGAGATTGACATGGGTAAATAAGTTTGGATATACCTTCAGACTTGGACAATAAGTTACGCCCAAAAATGGAAAGATCTCTACTAAGCCAATGGTTTAAGGATACTTGTATTTGATCAATTTTTTCTTTCATATTTATTTCCTCTCTTTGCTTTTCATCTTTGACCATCTTAACTCCAAGATACTTAATTTCTTTTTTAACAGGGATTGACATTATTTTTGTATCTATACAGTCAAATAATGCAAGTATTTCACACTTTTTTATATTTAAATGGAGACCTGAAGCTTTGGAAAAAGTTGAAATTATTTGCAATGCAATACTAACCATAGATTTATCCCTAAGGAAGAGGACAGTGTCGTCTGCAAACTGACTGAGGCGAAATTCGTATTCAAAAAAATGTATGCCCTGAAAATTTGGATGATTTAATATCAAATATGCTAGTAGCTGTGTACATAAAATAAACAGCTTGGGACTAATTGGACATCCTTCTTATACCGCAAGTTATATTTATTCTAGGTGTTAGTCCTGGGTTTAAGGAGACATAACTGTAAATATCAGTATAGAACATTTTGATCACTGAACAAAATTTTTTGTCGAATCCAAAATGTTCTAAAGTAGAAAATAAAAAATCATGCTCTATAGAATCGAAAGCTTTGAAATAGTCTATAAATAAAATCAGGCTTTCGGATTCCAGAAAAGACCGGTAGTCCATCATGTCGAATATTAATCTCACATTATTATGTATACTTCTACCTTTTATAAACGCAGACTGAGTTTCATCTACTATTCTATCGATTACTGTTTTCAACCTCTCTGCATATATTAGCGCCAATAACTTATAATCGTTACAGAGCAACGTAATAGGCCTCCAATTGTCTAAATTTGTTATATCTTTTTTTTGATTTGGGTAGTAGAGTTATTATACCAGTTTTCATTGTTGGAGTAAGACATCCTTCTTGTATACATTCAATAAATGCACTCAATAGCAATTCTTTGATATCTTCCCAAAAAAACTTAAAAAATTCCGAGGTCAACCCATCAATTCCAGGTGACTTCCCATCTTTCATTTTTTTCAGGGCATTTTCCATTTCCTGCAGATTTATTTTGCCTTCTAACCTTTCTTTGTCGTTTTCCCCAATCCTTTTAATATTGCTCTTAATCATAGTAAAAAAGGATTCACAGTCCTCTTTGTGAAAATTTGAGCTATACAAATCAGAGTAAAAGAGTTGAACTTCCTCTTGTATTTGGCTAGTATCTTCTATGACTGTATCATTTTTTGTTAATTTGCAGATTCTTTTTTTAGACTGTCTAGACTTTTCTAAGCCATAGAAATATGTTGTGTTCTTCTCACCTTCTTCGATCCATCTAGCCCTGGACCGTACAAAGGTTCCGCTTGCTTTTTCTAAATAAATTTCATCAAGTTTTTTTTGAAGGGAGTTCAACTCTGTTAGTTCTTCCTCCGAAGCATTAGTTTTACCACAGAGTACGTTAATCCTTTTCAGTATTTCCTTATGTTTTAGTTTACTTGTTCTTGACATGCCTTTTCCCGTTTCAATTGCCAACCTTTTTGTTTCAAATTTAAACCATTCCCACTTCCCTTTATTTGACATATTCATTCCTTTTACTTTTATACAGAGGGATTTTATTTGTTTACAAAAACCATCATTTGATAAAAGTCTATTGTTTAATTTCCATATATTTAGGCCTCTTTCTCTATCTCCTTCTTTTCCTCTTCCTCTATACCTCTTTCTCTTGTTCTTCATCTTCTACCCCCTTCTCCTCATCCTCTTCCTCCTTCTCCTCCTCCTCTACCTCCTTCATGTCCTCTTTGAGCTCCCCCTCTTATTACCACTCTTCTTCTTCTTCTTCTTCTTCTTCTAGATCCTTCTTTTTTTGTTGAAGACTCACCTGCTGCCTTTTATAGCACACCTGAGTGCTGCGTTTTCAAATTAGCACATCTCTGCTTCCACACCTGGTGGATGTGAATATCCAATTCGTTCATTAGTGTGGTCAATGGCAAACTGGGGTTTTGTAATGACAAGGAAGTAACCTCACAATCCTTATCTGTGTCTAAGGTGTGAAAATGTGTGTAGAGTTTTACAAATCACTGTGTGTAATGTTTTGCAAAAAGGGTGAAGCTGACAAAGTGCTTACAATTGTGCAAATCTAGGCCGGTGTTTTGCTCCTTGAGTGTAAGGTTTGCTAATAGTGGGAAAGTTTTAATTTTAGTGTGTAAGCAATTGAAAAAAACTGTAAATTGATATTACAGATATAAGAATATATTTCCATTAAACAAAAGCGAACTTTTCTAGATTTTTTTTTACTATGTCGCTTTAACTTAATAATTTATCAAACAATGTGAAATAAATGCAAAGTAAGTGCAGAGTTTAGTGCAGTTTTCCTCTGGCGCTCTGAATACGGTTCAGCAGTGTAATTCACACAGTTCACCACAGGAGGGCGATTAAACTCCATTTTCAACAGAATATCGCAGACAGGGGCGGCGCTAGGGGTGGGCTAAGGGGGCTGTTTTCAGTAAAGCCCCGAATGTTTTTATTACCTTGCATTGTACACACCATCACTGAGAGAATGTAATTAATTAAATGTATATTTCTCGACTCTCGCATCACAGCGTCCGTCAACATACGCATTGTCATTCACAACCGACAAGAACCGCCCACTCAGGCTAGTGCTTCTGACTGACATGTAAACTGGCCAACCATCGATGAGAAGCTCGGCGGTCTTGTACGATCCAGCCAATGAAATTAAATATTTTGGAGCCAGGTGTTTGTTGATGTGCAAGAAGTTAGTATTGAACGAGTAAAATGGATGCTGATCAAAGTTCTTCCAAAAAAAGAAAAAAAAAAGAAAAAAGAATTAAAACACCCCAGCCATTACTAAAACAAGATACAACAGCTTCAGCAGGTATCTGTAACTTATAATCGTAGTATTAGATTTCTTTCTTTAGATTGTCAGATATACATTTTGATCGTCAAACACTTTGTGCAGCACAGTCAATAGGACGTGCACGCGCGGCGCACACACAAAAGGTAAGGTAGGTAGTCTTATTAGTCTTTAAAATGTAATATGTGCATGAAGAATGGGTCAAGATTTTTTTTTTGTTATTATAGAGATTCTTTAGTCACCTCTTTTTATCTATTCTCACAAAAATCATGTTGTTAAGTAAATGCTATTTATTAAAACAATAATAGAGCTGAGCTTGCCAACCATGTCTGAGATGAGTCAGCAAGGAAAGAAGAGGGTGCGTGGCAATGTGATTTTTAATTTTAATTAGCAAGAAATATTCACCTTATTTAAAAAAAACAAACATTTTATTTAAAGTTTATTTCTTGTATCGTGACACATACATGGATTTCTCTGGGTTAAGCCCCAGATATCCACTCACCCTAGAACCGCTCCTGATCGCGGATGTAAAATATATTTATAGAAAATTTGAAAGGTAATTGCCAGATGTTTTACTGCGTCACATGGCAACCAACAATTTATTAAATGTTACAAAATATTGTAACTCAAAGTTTTCCTCTGACTGCAGTCACAGCTGTAGAAATAAGTTGCAGCAGTGTAATTCACACAATTCACCACAGGAGGGCGACTGGCTAAGTTGTCTTAAAGTTTTAGTGCTTACTAGCTTTTTGTGTTCAAAATGTTCAAAGGTTTATATAATGAGCGGGTACATGTATCAGTTGTCCAAATCGTGCTTTGTCTTATCCTGAATCACTGTGGTACACCTATAATAAGCGTTTATATTCGGACTATTTTATACTGGTTCTGGTCTTACCGCTGCGGAGTAGCACAGGACCTGCGTGACTCGTCATTCATGTTTGGTTCAATATTAAATTATACTCTAACTTAACGTTACCTTTGGCTCGTGGAGAGAATAATATTCGTTTGAACTTTTTTCATTTCACGTGAACACACACCAGAATTCTTGCAGAGTCGATTTATCTATTTCGCTGACTCAAATCTTTAAATGTTTATGGGTAAAATGACAGCAGTGTAATTCACACAGTTCACCACAGGAGGGCGTCAAGATAAAAACAAATGTTCGTCTTAACCCTAAAACCGTATTCTGGACAAATGTGGGCAAAATAGTTTTGATTTATTTTTAAGAAATACTTCCCTTGATCTGAGCGGTACAAGACTTGGCTGCTTTTCCTAAGTTTGCCTCCTGAACACACACAATATTTTTTTTTGACTCAATTCTACAATGTTAAGTGGGTGGAAAAAAACCTTCTTAATCTTGTATTTGGGTCAAAAATGGGCACCCATAGAAATGAATGGGGAAAAACTGTAATTTAGAGCATTCTAAAATAAGCCAAAATAAGACACCGGGTGACAGCAAAGCCACTTCATAACTACAAATAACTAATGTTAGGGAAATCTGTTAATGTTTTGTTGTGCATTCCTGAAAAAAAAATATATATATCGGCCAATATATCGGAATATCGGATTTTAAAACCAACAAATATTTGTATCGGTATCGGCCTTCAAAATCCTGTATCGGTCGGGCTCTAGAATGTTTTCTAATAATGGTTAGCGATAGATTGTAAGTGGCAGACCTCTTGGAGCTTTTCTTAATCATGTTGCAAATAAATTTACACAAACTAATTAATGTTAACTGACGTAAAATGAGAGTTTACACAAATCCATTTACATCCATACACAGGACAGGTGACCTCTCTTCTTATTTCACCGCTTTCGCACTCATATCTGATGAGAAAAGCGTATTCAAGTATTAAGAATCAAGTTTTAGCAAACCAGGCAGAGAGTTTTGAGGCCCAAAATTGAGGCACGTCTTTTGTTGCTCTGCAGAAACCTCCTTCTCACTGGTTCAGGTAGAAATTCACGACACACCCACTGCACTGTTAATGAGGATCGGTAGAAACGGTTGAACGTAGAAAGAAAACGGATTATACGTGAGCAGGATCAGCGGTTTATGTTATTTTTTTAAAGCTGATACATTTTTGATATCTTCTTTTGTCAATCATTCAGTAAACAGGTTCTCAGAGGATATTTTAAACATGTATTTTCAAGAAGGACATGTTTGGATGAGAGGCTGATGAGTAACGTTCCTCCAGTGCAAGTCTCCTGGAAAAACCAGTCCAGATGAAATCACAGCAGCAAAGGTAAGAAACTGAAAATAAAGCATGCCTTCATTCAGTTATAAGTTTATTAGCAGCCCACATATTTATTTCCCATGATTTCCCGGTTGAAGAGTCGTGTAGCTCGTGCTGATAGTGCTTCCAGTGGGATCAGGACCAACAGGGAAGATGTGTCTTGACATGCCAGATTTTTTGGATTGTTTTCACAGCAAACCTTCAGTTGTATTGCAGTAAAACTACAGTATTACTTCTGAAAACTGCAGTCATTTTTTGTAAGGGCGTGGACTGTTGAAATTTTAATGTTACCATTATAATCAATGATTTTAGACCAATTCCACATTAATTATCTGACGGTTTGTTTATTCCATCAGAGTTGTAATTTTAATTACATTCCATTGCTCGTTTACATAATAGGCCGGTGTAGTATCTTTTCAAGAAGCCGACTAGTTCAAGTGAATACTTTACTTAATTTGTTGCAACACACAACACACCATTCCTCCCATGTCTTCTCTCCCTCTACCATCTTCTTCAACTGTTTTCCAGGACAACACCTGTAATAGAATGACACCTAGTGGTTACTCAATGATACTACATCCCCTCCTTCTTAAGTTAAATACCTATAATATTACTTAAAGAATAAAACATTATACCTCCACTTCACACTTCATTCAGTGTCTTCAAGTGACTTTCTTGACTTATGCCAATCACTAATATATCATCTAGATAAACAAGTACTTCAAGAATACCTTGCAACAATTCCTCCATTGTTCTCTGGGAGATAGCAGGAGCTGAAGCAACTCCAAAGGGCAAACGATTATATGTGAATAACCTGTTTTGTGAATTCACTGTCAAGTATTTCTTGGAGCTGTCAACCATGATGATGCACATTTATGATGGACAGATGCACATTTATGATGGACAGATGCACATTTATGATGGACAGATGCACATTTATGATGGACAGATGCACATTTATGATGGACAGATGCACTTTTATGATGGACAGATGCACTTTTATGATGGACAGATGCACTTTTATGATGGATAGATGCACTTTTATGATGGATAGATGCACTTTTATGATGGACAGATGCACATTTATGATGGACAGATGCACATTTATGATGGATAGATGCACTTTTATGATGGATAGATGCATATTAATGATGGACAGATGCACATTTATGATGGATCGATGCACATTTATGATGGACAGATGCACATTTATGATGGACAGATGCACTTTTATGATGGACCGATGCACATTTATGATGGATCGATGCACATTTATGATTGACAGATGCACATTTATGATGGACAGATGCACATTTATGATGGACAGATGCACATTTATGATGGATCGATGCACATTTATGATGGACAGATGCACATTTATGATGGACAGATGCACATTTATGATGGACAGATGCACATTTATGATGGACAGATGCACATTTATGATGGACAGATGCACTTTTATGATGGACAGATGCACTTTTATGATGGACAGATGCACTTTTATGATGGATAGATGCACTTTTATGATGGATAGATGCACTTTTATGATGGACAGATGCACATTTATGATGGACAGATGCACATTTATGATGGATCGATGCACATTTATGATTGACAGATGCACATTTATGATGGACAGATGCACATTTATGATGGACAGATGCACATTTATGATGGACAGATGCACATTTATGATGGATCGATGCACATTTATGATGGACAGATGCACATTTATGATGGACAGATGCACTTTTATGATGGACCGATGCACATTTATGATGGATCGATGCACATTTATGATTGACAGATGCACATTTATGATGGACAGATGCACATTTATGATGGACAGATGCACATTTATGATGGACAGATGCACATTTATGATGGATCGATGCACATTTATGATGGACAGATGCACATTTATGATGGACAGATGCACATTTATGATGGATCGATGCACATTTATGATTGACAGATGCACATTTATGATGGACAGATGCACATTTATGATGGACAGATGCACTTTTATGATGGATAGATGCACTTTTATGATGGATAGATGCACTTTTATGATGGATAGATGCACATTTATGATGGACAGATGCACATTTATGATGGACAGATGCACATTTATGATGGACAGATGCACATTTATGATGGACAGATGCACATTTATGATGGATAGATGCACATTTATGATGGACAGATGCACATTTATGATGGACAGATGCACATTTATGATGGACAGATGCACATTTATGATGAACAGATGCACATTTATGATGGACAGATGCACATTTATGATGGACAGATGCACATTTATGATGGATAGATGCACATTTATGATGGACAGATGCACATTTATGATGGACAGATGCACATTTATGATGGACAGATGCACATTTATGATGGACAGATGCACATTTATGATGGACAGATGCACATTTATGATGGATAGATGCACATTTATGATGGACAGATGCACATTTATGATGGACAGATGCACATTTATGATGGACAGATGCACATTTATGATGGATAGATGCACATTTATGATGGACAGATGCACATTTATGATGGACAGATGCACATTTATGATGGACAGATGCACATTTATGATGGATAGATGCACATTTATGATGGACAGATGCACATTTATGATGGACAGATGCACATTTATGATGGATAGATGCACATTTATGATGGACAGATGCACATTTATGATGGACAGATGCACATTTATGATGGACAGATGCACATTTATGATGGACAGATGCACATTTATGATGGATAGATGCACATTTATGATGGACAGATGCACATTTATGATGGACAGATGCACATTTATGATGGACAGATGCACATTTATGATGGATAGATGCACATTTATGATGGACAGATGCACATTTATGATGGACAGATGCACATTTATGATGGATAGATGCACATTTATGATGGACAGATGCACATTTATGATGGACAGATGCACATTTATGATGGATAGATGCACATTTATGATGGACAGATGCACATTTATGATGGACAGATGCACATTTATGATGGACAGATGCACATTTATGATGGACAGATGCACATTTATGATGGATAGATGCACATTTATGATGGATAGATGCACTTTTATGATGAACAGATGCACTTTTATGATGGATAGATGCACATTTATGATGGACAGATGCACTTTTATGATGGATAGATGCACTTTTATGATGGACAGATGCACTTTTATGATGGACAGATGCACTTTTATGATGAACAGATGCACTTTCATGATGGACAGATGCACTTTTATGTTGGAAAGATGCACTTTTATGATGGACAGATGCACTTTTATGTTGGAAAGATGCACTTTTATGATGGACAGATGCACATTTATGATTGACAGATGCACATTTATGATGGACCGATGCACATTTATGATGGATAGATGCACATTTATGATGGACAGATGCACATTTATGATGGATAGATGCACTTTTTATGATGATAGATGCACATTTATGATGGACAGATGCACATTTATGATGGACAGATGCACATTTATGATGAACAGATGCACATTTATGATGGACAGATGCACATTTATGATGGATAGATGCACATTTATGATGGACAGATGCACATTTATGATGGACAGATGAACTTTTATGATGGACAGATGCACTTTTATGATGGATAGATGCACATTTATGATGGATAGATGCACATTTATGATGGACAGATGAACTTTTATGATGGACAGATGCACTTTTATGATGGACAGATGCACTTTTATGATGAACAGATGCACTTTTATGATGGATAGATGCACATTTATGATGGACAGATGCACTTTTATGATGGATAGATGCACTTTTATGATGGACAGATGCACTTTTATGATGGACAGATGCACTTTTATGATGAACAGATGCACTTTCATGATGGACAGATGCACTTTTATGTTGGAAAGATGCACTTTTATGATGGACAGATGCACATTTATGATTGACAGATGCACATTTATGATGGACCGATGCACATTTATGATGGACAGATGCACTTTTATGATGGACAGATGCACATTTATGATGGACAGATGCACATTTATGATGGATAGATGCACATTTATGATGGACAGATGCACATTTATGATGGACAGATGCACTTTTATGATGGACAGATGCACATTTATGATGGACAGATGCACATTTATGATGGATAGATGCACATTTATGATGGACAGATGCACATTTATGATGGATAGATGCACATTTATGATGGATAGATGCACATTTTTGATGGATAGATGCACATTTATGATGGATAGATGCACTTGTATGATGGATGCACTTTTATGATGATAGATGCACTTTTATTATGATAGATGCACTTTTATGATGGACATATGCACATTTATGATGGACAGATGCACTTTTATGATGGACAGATGCACATTTATGATGGACAGATGCACATTTATGATGGACAGATGCACATTTATGATGGACAGATGCACATTTATGATGGACAGATGCACATTTATGATGGACAGATGCACATTTATGATGGACAGATGCACATTTATGATGGACAGATGCACATTTATGATGGACAGATGCACATTTATGATGGATAGATGCACATTTATGATGGACAGATGCACATTTATGATGGATAGATGCACATTTATGATGAACAGATGCACATTTATGATGGATAGATGCACATTTATGATGGACAGATGCACATTTATGATGGATAGATGCACATTTATGATGAACAGATGCACATTTATGATGGACAGATGCACATTTATGATGGATAGATGCACATTTATGATGGACAGATGCACATTTATGATGGACAGATGCACATTTATGATGGTCAGATGCACATTTATGATGGACAGATGCACATTTATGATGGATAGATGCACATTTATGATGGACAGATGCACATTTATGATGGACAGATGCACTTTTATGATGGACAGATGCACATTTATGATGGACAGATGCACATTTATGATGGACAGATGCACATTTATGATGGATAGATGCACATTTATGATGAACAGATGCACATTTATGATGGATAGATGCACATTTATGATGGACAGATGCACATTTATGATGGATAGATGCACATTTATGATGAACAGATGCACATTTATGATGGACAGATGCACATTTATGATGGATAGATGCACATTTATGATGGACAGATGCACATTTATGATGGACAGATGCACTTTTATGATGGACAGATGCACTTTTATGATGGACAGATGCACATTTATGATGGACAGATGCACATTTATGATGGATAGATGCACATTTATGATGGACAGATGCACATTTATGATGGATAGATGCACATTTATGATGGATAGATGCACATTTTTGATGGATAGATGCACATTTATGATGGATAGATGCACTTGTATGATGGATGCACTTTTATGATGATAGATGCACTTTTATTATGATAGATGCACTTTTATGATGGACATATGCACATTTATGATGGACAGATGCACTTTTATGATGGACAGATGCACATTTATGATGGACAGATGCACATTTATGATGGACAGATGCACATTTATGATGGACAGATGCACATTTATGATGGACAGATGCACATTTATGATGGACAGATGCACATTTATGATGGACAGATGCACATTTATGATGGACAGATGCACATTTATGATGGACAGATGCACATTTATGATGGATAGATGCACATTTATGATGGACAGATGCACATTTATGATGGATAGATGCACATTTATGATGAACAGATGCACATTTATGATGGATAGATGCACATTTATGATGGACAGATGCACATTTATGATGGATAGATGCACATTTATGATGAACAGATGCACATTTATGATGGACAGATGCACATTTATGATGGATAGATGCACATTTATGATGGACAGATGCACATTTATGATGGACAGATGCACATTTATGATGGACAGATGCACATTTATGATGGTCAGATGCACATTTATGATGGACAGATGCACATTTATGATGGATAGATGCACATTTATGATGGACAGATGCACTTTTATGATGGACAGATGCACATTTATGATGGATAGATGCACTTTTATGATGGACAGATGCACATTTATGATGGACAGATGCACATTTATGATGGACAGATGCACATTTATGATGGACAGATGCACATTTATGATGGACAGATGCACATTTATGATGGACAGATGCACATTTATGATGGATAGATGCACTTTTATGATTGATAGATGCACATTTATGATGGACAGATGCACTTGTATGATGGATAGATGCACTTTTATGATGGATAGATGCACTTTTATGATGATAGATGCACTTTTATGATGGATAGATGCACTTTTATGATGGACAGATGCACATTTATGATGGATAGATGCACTTGTATGATGGATGCACTTTTATGATGGATAGATGCACTTTTATGATGGACAGATGCACATTTATGATGGATAGATGCACATTTATGATGGACAGATGCACATTTATGATGGACAGATGCACATTTATGATGGACAGATGCACATTTATGATGGACAGATGCACATTTATGATGGACAGATGCACATTTATGATGGATAGATGCACATTTATGATGGATAGATGCACATTTATGATGGACAGATGCACATTTATGATGGATAGATGCACTTTTATGATGGACAGATGCACATTTATGATGGATAGATGCACATTTATGATGGATAGATGCACATTTATGATGGATAGATGCACTTTTATGATGGACAGATGCACATTTATGATGGATAGATGCACATTTATGATGGATAGATGCACATTTATGATGGACAGATGCACATTTATGATGGATAGATGCACATTTGAAATGTCTAGTCGTTATTATTAGCTGTATAAACAGAAGAATTGTCCTTACCGTATGCTGCTAAACATGTCATTCATCTCCATCTAACGTTCATCATTCTTTTTGTTTGCTTGTTTCTGATGGTTTTCAGCTTTCTCTTTCTGCAAATTGTATAGTTGTACTCGCGAAATGACCCCGCACCCAAAATACTATCAAAACACTCCAACTCAGCCTCTATTCTCCGCAGATGAAACAAAAACCTTGAAAAAATTATATACGATCGGGCCAAATCACAGAGATGTCGATTCGCACGGGACTAGTATTATCACAGAACCTCGGTGTTCGGCAAAATATAGTAGGTAATTTGCGGGGGAATTTTTACTTTACAAATTACAGACATGGCCGATTCGCACTTGATAAAGATCACAGACAAACTCTGCAATTATTACATATTACTACAGGTCACCGATAATACTAATCCCGTGCGAATAGGGCTATAGTAGGTAATTTGAGGGGAATTTTTACTATATACTATGGTAGTCAATGAGACCAGAAACTGTCTGGCTACAGATATTCTTCTAAATATCAGAAAATCGTCTTAATTCATTTGAAAACGGTGAAACTCAACTGTTTAACTCTGGGGGAGTTGTAAAATGAGCCTATTTCCAAAAAAAGTGGAGTATCCCTTTAACTCTGACACCGGATGTAGTATCTTGGAGTAACCATTAGGTGTCATTGTATTATAAGTGTTGTGTTTGAGCCTATTTCCAAAAAAAGTGGAGTATCCCTTTAAGGATTAATTTGATGTCTCATGATATGATGTTATATCCCTTTAATGAAACTCTGTCTGTGTGATTGAACAGGTTCAAATGAAGAGGAGGAAGAAAATCAGCAGAAATCACAGATCAGCAGAAAACAAGAAGACTGAGAGAAACACGGAGGACAGAAATGACACACAAACCAGAGAATCACAAGAGGAAAGAGGAGAGAGACGTGATAGATGTGACAGTATGAAGAAACTAACGCCAGACTGTGAGTGTTTGATCATTAATTTTATAGTCTTTTGACACATTTTTGAGTTTCACTGTTAGATTACTGTTGTTTTCTCTCCTGTCATAAAGTGTCACATTCAGACAAATTCATCAGACTGACTTTCTGCAGTCATTAAACATTTACAGATTGTGTTATTGATCAAGATCACAATACATATAAAAATTCAAAGCAAAGTATATGAGGATAATGTGCATATATGTGTATTTTTCTAGTGTCCTGTGATCCAGATGAGCCTGTAAAGAGTGATTCTCATCAAACCCTTCATCATGTTCTCAAGAACACACATCACTGACATCTTCATCATCCTCATCATCACTGACATCCATCAGCAGTTGAAGACCTGGGGCCGTATTCACAAAGAATTTTAAGGCTAAAAGTAACTGGCGAATTTAGGAGAAACTCCTAAAAATAAGGGGCGTGTCACTCCTAACTTTAAGACTCCTAATTTTTTTCACTAAGAGTAATTCACGAAGCATTTTAGCCCTAAAAGTAGCACCTAAGTCTGGGACGGCTTAAAAGAAGTCGAGAGGACTCCTAACTCACTAAGACCTTTTCACAAAGGATTGTAGCGCATACCAGCGCCTCTCGCAGTCGTCCGGGGTCCGCGACACAGGCGGGAATGCTGCATTCATCTGCAAACAAATCCTCTTCCATGTCTCACGCTTAGTTTTGCTTGATATCCCAGCGCTGAATTTCACTTTTATTATGTTTTTTTTTTTTTTTCTAGCACCAACTGGGTCAGCAGCAGTAACTGATCCTGTGTCCAGTTGGGCTTTCTTTTCCATTTTGGCGAGTTCATAATCCACTGTCATTCAACTATTACATTACATTATGGGAGCAACATTTCCTAAGTTATTCGCTGTCAAAGTGACGCCAAAATGAATGGGAGTCAATGGGATGCTAACAGCAGGAGATGCTCTGCTACAATGGCGGCTCCCGCGAGGCTTCAACTTACGGCTGATGGATTACACACTTGTCTCGGACACATTTCTAACCGGCATGCATCTCGCGCTGATCACCGGTGATCAGTTCTGCGCAGATTTTGCTCATCTTAAACAAGCCTCATGTCTGAGGTAATGTAGCTTAAAATGTCATTGTTGTTTTGAAAGAAAGAAAAAACGGCGTAAGAGCGTGTCTTATGCCCTCAGGTAAGTTAGCTCACACACTGTTAAAATCAACCCGGTCTCATCCCAAATCGTCATATAACTGACGTTTTGGGACGTCTTTTGACCATACGTCAATATTCGCCTTTTTAGGGCCCCCTTAAACGTCGGTAGATGAGGTTATGGGATCCTAACTCTACCCCATACCTAAACTTAACCCTAAACCTAACCCGTCACCTAACTGACGTTAAAGGTAAAGCGTCACTTGTATGACGGCCCGGGATCGCCATCTACCGACGTTTAAGGGGGCCCTAAAAAGGCGGATATTGACGTATGGTCAAAATACGTCCCAAAACGTCAGTTATATGACGATTTGGGATGAGACTGTGTTATTAAAATCAGCCAATCCCGTTTCAGAATCGCAATACACACACACCCACGCACACACACACACACACACACATATATATATATATATATATATAAGAACGTTTGTGCCAAAAGGGTTCTTTCTTGTCATTATCATCATTTTTTTGCATAAAACGTCCTTTGCAGTTGAGTAAACAACCCTATGCTACATAACCCTTTTTTTCAATCACCTGAGCTGGAAATGTCACATGACTGACTCTAGAGCTGCAGGGAAATGACATTATCTCACTACTGATTGGCTGATGAATCAACTCATTATCATCTATATAGGCTACTGTAATCTGAACAATACTGTATTACACTGTAAGATAATATTCTGTAATCATCCTTCATGTGTTCATTGTTTCTGTCTAAATGAATATGTGCCGTTAACTACTGTAACTGCATGATTGAGTTATCTGTACAGTTCTGATGTGTGGACATTACTGTGTCACAGTATGTATAATGACTTTACAAATAAACGTGAAAATAAAAATAAAAATCTGAAGTAACCCTGAGATTGCCCTTTGACCCTGTCGTGCAGTCACGTGTCTCCCTCTACAGGACATCATCAGAATCAGGGACGTGCACAGGAATTTTGAGGGGCAGTTGCTCTGACCTGAAAAAAGGGCAACCCCCCTCCTCCCCCCTCACGGGCTATATGAAGGAATATATTCAGTTGAATTTGTCACCTTCCAAATTGCCTTATCTGGCCGTGTTTATGTCCAAACGCAATGCCTCATCTTATGGTCTTATTATTATTTATAAATATTGCAAAATGTCAGAAATGAGACAAATGAGCAAAAGAGTTCCTCATATTGTTGTTTATTGTTTTTTTAAATTATTATTATTTATTTATTTATTTGAAAAGAAGTAATCTGGATTGAATGGAAAAACTCGAAAAATAAAAAACGCTTAGATTTCGGGAAAAAATACAATCCTTTTTTGCCAATCCTGACCTCCCCCTGGGGCCCTAAGCAAAATTCTGCTAAGGGACCCTCTACCTGATCTGTGATGCCGTGAGCCATGTAAACCATTTGCCATTGCCACTCAATACCGCCCAATACAATCCTCCCTCCTTTAAACAAAACAGTCAAAGAATAAGTACAACAATATAGAACAGAATGAGGTTCAAACAATATTTACTGAATAAAGCATTTTATAGACTGTTAAGATAACAAGTGAATATTAACGTAAACATAAATAAGAAGAAAATAATAAAGTACAACCCTGAACTTTGGCTTTGACGTTTTTTTCAGCGTGGATCGAGGCAAATGAATCCTGTTCACCTTGAAAATAATAAATGTTTTTTTGCATTTTAAATATTAGACCATTTCTCAGTGATCGTAAATAAAACAAAATTCCATTTTTCTCGGTTTAATGAAAACCTGACATCTACACATTTTCCAAAGTGGACTATTTAGGCTGCTTCATTAAAAATGTGACATTTACACGTTTTCTTCGGCGTGGATCCAGGCAAATGAATCCTTTTCACCTTGAAAATAATAAAATTATTTTTTTTTTGCATTTTATATTAGACCATTTCTCAGTGATCGATTTAAACCGTGACATCTACACATTTTCAAAAGTGGACTAACGTGATTATTTCACGTCTTGTCACGATACCGGGTTGAAGAAATATTGTTTAGGCCACTTTGTTTCATATTTTACTCATTAGGCTGCTTCATTAAAAATGTGACATTTAGACGTTTTCTTCGGCGTGGATCCAGGCAAATGAATCCTTTTCACCTTGAAAAGAATATATATATATATATATATATATATATATATATATATATATATATATATATATATATATATATTATTATTATTATTATTATTATTTTTTTTTTTTTTTTGCATTTTAAATAATAGAAAATTTTTCAGTGATCGTAAATAAAACAAAATTCCATTTTCTCGATTTAATGAAAACCAATAGGTCGTTATGGCAGAGGCGAATAAACATCCGGATATCTCTCCAATGGAGCGTGTTAACGCAAACGTGTAAGTTTCACGTTTGAGGGGGTTAAACCGTGACATCTACACATTTTCCAAAGTGGACTATTTAGGCTGCTTCATTAAAAATGTGTCATTTAGACGTTTTTTTCAGCGTGGATCGAGGCAAGTGAATCCTGTTCACCTTGAAAATAATAAATGTTTTTTGCATTTTAAATATTAGACCATTTCTCAGTGATCGTCAATAAAACAAAATTCCATTTTTCTCAGTTTAATGAAAACCAATAAGTAAGTTTCAGTTTAAGTGTAAGTTTCACGTTTGAGGGGGTTTAAACCGTGACATCTACGCGTTTTCAAAAGTGCACCAAAGTGATTATTTCACGTCTTGTCACGATACACAGCAGAGTTAAAGAAGATACAGATGAACATGTGTTTTATATATGAAAATATGAATATGAAAATCAACACGTTGTCATTTTAAGGGAATCATTATTGAAGTGAAACACAAAGATGTCAAATGTAAGTCACTGTAAAATATCACTTCGGCTAATATTTGTAATTTATAATGTCATTCTGTATAGATCAGTGGCTAAATCATATTAAAGCTCCAGCAGGGGGCGGTAAGCACACATTCAGCTGGTTCAAAACCCGCCAGTAAAACCCAAGAAGACCAAAACGAAAGTAACTGGAAAACACAAACAAGTGGAGATAAGAAGAGAAAACTCATTAGATTTGGTTCATGTGTGTCCCAGAATTTTAATTTAGCACTAACCAAGTTTAACATTATCAGTCATTCATCCTATATTTAATCCTCAAATCACCCATATAGCAGCGAGAGATGTTGACTGGATTGGTGACGCGCGCTGGCCACAAGCATAAAGGACAGAACAATTAGTTTATGATATAGACGGAGTACAGTTCAGACACTTTTTGCGTTTTGATTTTCACACTACTGAAAAGAAGGGATTTCCACATTTCATTAGCTTCATTAGACTAAGATATTATCAATCAATAATACCTAGGCTATTTTATATTTTCCTTATAATAATAAGGTGCTTTTTGTCTCAATTTTGTCTTGTGGGTGTTTGTGGATGTTTGTTGAGACACCCATTTTTAATGATGTAAAGGTAACTAACGGTTCATTGCAAATATAAAAGACAAATAGGCCTAAAAAAAAATAACAATTGGGCGACAAGTTTGTTTATTCATCCATTTAAATTCATTAATTTTATTTAAATTGGCACTGGTTAAAATGTATAAAAACAACATATTTAAGAAACAATATATTTAACAATATATAGAATTTTTTTTTTTTTTTTTTTGCCGATATCTTCGGATCGGAGATGCGTCCATTGATCAAATTTCCCACAATAAAAGAGGACACTAATCTGCACAACTTGTGCTTGCTGCACGCGCAAGCTGTCTCAACTGTACTCAGTGTACCCTAATAATACATTTACTTTTGAGTGGACAAGACTGTAAATAAGTTTTTATACTTTCTAGATTACAATTATTTGGGGAAATAAAATGTGGATTTCATACTGTATAAGTGTGATTGAAATGTGAATTTTAGAAAGAAGAAATCAGAATATTTTATAGGCGTATATGTTCATGAAAAATATGTTTCTGTATGTCTTTCTACATTTCGCTTCCAGTTTATGCTGTTGTTTTTGTTATGCGAAAACAAATATATTTTTAAACCACCAGATATTTGCAGTTAGACCGTAGGCAGATAACCTGGTCGTTCATGTATTTGTTTTTTCCTAGATGGGAGTTTATTCATATAGAAATGCAGACTACAAAGGGTTAATACGGTTTAAGTTTCCCACAATATCCAATCCAAACAATTCAAATAAATATAATTGTCGAAAAAAGTTAACACATCCTAAGGAAAGGACTCAAAGCACGTGGTTGTGTGTCCATTGAAACTGTTTTATGGTGTGCAATTTTAAACACCCTTTACCTCATTTTAATTATTCGGTAAGTAAGTCAAATCTATTCTAAAAAGCAATTAAATATTCATACTTAAGGTAATTAGGTTAAAGAAGACTTCTTCGTGGTACGTTCAGCTCAATCTTTTGTGAAGCAGAGACTTATGGCAGGCAAGCTTCTTAATTTCAATTATATATCTTTTTTATTTAATACAGGTTAACTAGTTTACATAAAAGGTATTAATATATAAAACAAAAATAAAAGTAAATCAAAACCAAACTGTTTGCATATCAGCAAGAGGTGCAATGGCAAGCCTCTAACACCAGAGAGGTGTCCAAGTGGATCAGCTTCTGCATCCACGTCGCTTTCCAGTCCTTATAAATCCATCAAACTTTAGACAGTTGGAAACTCCCTCAGCTTGCATTAGTCCTTTACAGACAACCGGTCCAATCCGAAGGAAATTCCCTCAGGACCTTCTCATATAAACCCCTCAGTCTTTTAGTCCTCTTACTCCGGACTTTCATCCTCTGCTTTCTCCTGCGTTTGCTCTGCAACACAACAACTGGTAATACCTGCACTATTCTCAACAAAAATTTCTTTTTAGTACAAGTTTCTTTCCTTACTATACTTGCTAATAAATGCTTAAAACATCACATAAAAGAAACATGTTTCTTTTATAAACCCTGTTCTCAATAAGTGGTTACAATGATTATTACAAGTGTCCTTCATTATATAACACTTTCTTAATAAATCGTTTAATA